CCAGGCGCTGACCCTGAGCAAATCCATCCTGTCAGCTTTCCCTCCTTAACAAACAGCTCCTACGCTCTTGTTTCCATGCCAGGGTGTTTTTTTTCCCTTTGCTCAGCACTAGCTGGCTTTCCGGTATGGGATGCTGCTGGAGGATGAGGGAAAGCACGTGTTTTTTAGGGGCCTGGAGATACAGCAGCACTTTGTGTTCTGCTCTCCGTGCCTCCCTTGCTGCTCCAATTGATCCTGGCAACAGCAAATGTAAAAATAGATGCCGGGCGCTTTCTGCCTTTCCTCCCAAAACCTGCCTTTTGGCAGCCGTGCTGCGTGGCTCGCCGTTCTCCTTGACTCTCAGTGGAGGCGAGTGGGAGGAGAGAGGAGCCTTTGCACAGGAAAGGGTTTTACTGAAACTGTCTGGAGGCAGTTTGGATGTGCCAATTAACCACGGTGACCTAGATGAGCGTGCACGGCCGCGCAGGGGGGCTGGGGAGCCCTCCGCCATGCAGCAGCGCTCACAGGCAGCGTTTACTGCGGCGGGATGTGAGCTTGCAAACCCCCAGAGCACATCTCACTTTCCAGGAGCTGCCCGAGAGCTCGCCGTTGCTTCCCCTTTTCTGGGGCATCTGCAGGGAGTTTTCTGTTTGAGGTTTCCTCTCCCGTCCCCGTGTGCAGGGGCGGCTTGCTGCTTCCTTCCCCCTGCAGAGATCGCCGCGGCCTGCCCCGTCCCTGCTGCGGCATCCGTGGAGGGCAGATCCCGGGGAGATGTTGGGAGAAACCCTCTGCCTTTTTGGGGATGCGCACCCAGCATGGTGCAATGCTGCGAGCAGGCACCCCATGCACGGAGGCGCTGGACCCGTGGGGCGTAAGAGGGAAGAATGTAGGGGTTTTTTAGCAAAAGCTAATTGCCTGAAGCTGCAGCTCGTGTCTTCAAGCTGCGTTCCCTGGACATGTCGCGTTGGAGAAGTCTCTGAGCAAGCCCCGCTCTCCGTATGGCCAGGGCCGAGGTGTCTCAGGCATCGCCTTGCAGTGGAGGTGGGCAGTAGCTGATGGGTGGAAAAGGAGCAGATCTCCACGGAGCAGCAGAAGGGTGTTGATATGGGACCAGCAAGCTGGGAAGCTGCAGGTTTCATCCTCCGCTCCGTGTTCAGGGAGAGACCTGTTTCCAGTTGCAGGGAGCAAGGGAAGGAGCGCGGACCCAGGCACCAAGCACCCCTCCTTAGGGAGAAGGATTGCTCCTAGCTGTCCCCACCAGCTCTGGCACCGGGATGAGAGAGCCTCTTTAATTTAACACTTTTTATTCCATGTCAGGCTTTGGCCCCTCCAGACCTTGCTAAGAACAGCTCCCCGGGAATAGGTGGCCAGAGACGGGTGGCTTGTCCTGGATGTCCTGTACAGCGAGGAGCTGGACCCGAGCTGGTGGCACCTTCCTCAAGAGAGGCCTCCAAAACACCTCCGAGAACCAGGTCCTTGCAGCCCTGGGTCCCCGGAGCTGGATGTGCTTGGCACAGCCTCCTCGGTCTCCCCGCGCTCCTCAGCGCCAGCACCTCATCCACGGTCTGATTAAGATAACCCAGTTAAATTCAGAGCGATTGGTGGGAGCCTGAGCTGCGAAGCCCACAGCTGCTATTTCAGACCTGGAAAAGGGTTTGTATGGGTAGAAGCCGGTTCGTTTTTCCAGGCGTATCGTCTAGTCCCAGAAAAGAGATCACGTCCCCATTGCAAGGCTTGGGCTCGGGTGGTCCCAATCCAGAAACTTCCCACCCAGGGCTTCCCCCAAGGGCAGCTCGTGGAAGAAACGTGGGGAACCGAGGGGTGTGGGATGGGGTTAATAGTGAAAAGATGCTGCAGGAGTTTGTGTTTAGCTGGGCTGGGACTTGAAACCCGCCCTGATCCCGCTCTCCCGTCACATACCAGCCAAGGCAGTGTTTTGCACCTCCTGTTTCCACTGGAACCGATTCATTCAAAAAAAGAAAAACCCAACGTGGAACAACTTAATCCTCCCAAACACTCATCTTGTGCCATAAACTTCTCAGCCTAAAAATAGCTCTGTTCCCTGTTTGAGGTGTAGTCCCAACTGCTTGCCGACTGCTGATTAGGTCTTGGGAACCAAAAATAGCTCCGTAATCCAGCACCAGCATAAGCAGAGGTTTTTCCTTGAACGGACACTTTTTGAAGCAGATCAGGTTTTAAGGTTTGTTCTTTCAAAGGTGTCACTGCCGAGCACCCAAATTCATTTTAATGACCACAACATTAGAAGTGATGGGACGGGAGATGCTGGGAGCGTATCCGTGTGAGCTGAGCCAGTGCAGGGCTCTTAGGGGCTGTTACATCTCATTATCCTCAAGTTTGTGCCTTTCCTTATGTTAATCTACTCAGATTTTCTCTCTATTTTTTTTTTTCCATGGGATGACGTAAGATATAAAAACTACTTGCAAGTTTTGGTTTTTTTTCCCCCCCCTGCTAAATAATTCAGCCCCCAAATCTCTCCCAGCTGGCAGGCTGCTGCAGCCCTTCCCACTTGAACTTTTTCCCGGTCTTCCATCAAACTGAACAGCGTAATATTTGATGCGCTGTGGCCGCCGCCTGTTCCAAGCAGCCTTTTTCTCACCGTTCCTATGGGAAGAGTCCTCCTGACTCACCTGCTCCCGCTCCCCGAACTGCTCCCTGGCAGCGGATCAGCCTGTTTGAGCGTCTCTTTGCTGCTGGTTTTTGCTGTAAGGGGTTAATGCTGCTTTTTTTCATGTTTGGTTTTTTTTTTTTTTCTGCATGCCTGGATATTTTCAAGCTTGAAGCCTGGGTGTTGAAAATTTTTCAAAGGGCTTCGTGTGGGAGTGGGATAAGCGAGTGGTTGGAAAAGGAATGGGTTTGCTGGGGATTTAACCGCGCGGCTGTGCCCGGCAAAGTCCCAGGCGCTGTCGCTCCTGCATTTCGGCGGCAGCAGAATGGGATGGGGAAGGACCTGGGTACTTCCAGCTGTACGCTCCTTTTCTTTATCCCGGCATCCCAGCAGGGAGTTAGGGGTTTTGTGCCCCCTTCCCAAGGTATGGCGTAGGCTCCCCAGGCTTTCCAGCTCATCCCTTCATCCAAGATGCGGTAACTTCCCCAGCAGTCATTCAGAACCTTCTGCAGGACGCAATCCAAGTTTTCTCCTCGCCCTGGTGATTTCAGCGTGGTCACACCCAACTCCATCCCTTCACATTTTCACATTTTCCTTCCTTTTTTTTTTTTTTTTTTTTTTTTCAGTGACTTCACTTTTCAAGTGGATGTGACACACTGCTGGGATTTTTATTTTCTGGGAAATCATTGGGAAATTGTTAACCCATGTCTAGAAATTTTCTTCCGCCTCCTGTTGCTGCGTGCTTTGCCCATGAAGCATGCCATGGAGAAATAGGGTCTGTCCTGAATTTACAAATTTCCTTGCGCCTTGTTAAGGGGAATTTTAATACTTTGATCCAGGAGGGATCAGAGCTGCCAGGGCAGCGGCTGTGCTGGAGACCCGCTCATCCCGCTGCAGCCACCCTGGGAAGCGGCGCCTGAAACCGGGGCAGAAGGATGGGGCATCTCACAGGAGGAGAAGGGAGCGAAGGACCACTGGGTCGACAGCGGTTTTGGGGAAGAAACAGTTCCCTCATGGCCTGTGTTTCATGGTGCTACCATGGTGAAATGGAGAACTAGAAGGTGCCTCTGGGCATCTCATGCTGTTGGGTCCTCTCGCCCACTGTTCATTCCAGCTGGCAGGAGGCAAGACCCCTCTCCCATCTCATACCAGGGGTTGCTCCGTGCCCTGCCAGCGCACAGGCTATTCCCTGCGGAAGGATTGGGCCCTAAATGGAGGTTGGGAGGTTTTTTTTCCTTTGTGCAGTGAATGTTTTGGAAGCTTTTCCCATGCTCCTTCCATCTCTGTGTGCAAAGCTATGGAGCAAAGGCTGCGTTACGGGTTTTGTCTGGGGCAGGGCAGTGGGGAGCATCCCCCAGTAACCTGCTGTGGGGTCAGCTGAAGCTTTTGCGCTGGTGGATACGGCCAATATCTTCTTCGGGAGCTCTCACCAGCCCCAGCAGCATGGTGCTGGGCTTTGGCGTGAGGGGTGTTCAAATAAAGTCCTTTTCCCTCCTCAGCTCAGGCTTCTGGCTGCCTCAAATTGTACAGCAGAATTCAGCAGAATTGAGGCATTTGGAGGAGGGGAAGGTGATGGACATATAGGTCTGCTGCATCCTCCATCATCGCATCAGGTCATCACAGATCCCAAAGCTGTAGTGCAGGCCTGGAGACTGCCATCGGCTGGCTGTGGGAATGCAGATATTTCCTAAAAATCCAGTAACTTGAGCAGGGTAGAGTAGGGTTGGGTTGGGTTGGGTTGGGTTGGATAGGGTGGGTGCTGCATGGCAGCTCCTCCTGCACATAAAGAGCTCCTGGAATGCAGCATCCTCTAAATGCTTGATGCGAGGACACTTCCAGGCAAACTTCAGCATCTTTATTTAGGGTGAGGCATGAAGGTCTGGCATAAAGTTATTTTAATGAATGCTGTTGAGTGCCTTTGCCATTACAGTGCTGTCTCAGACTTGAAAGGATTTGTTCTGAGTCACTGGCTCTTGAATATTTAAAATGCAAGCACAAAGCACTGTCTTTTTTTTAAACGCGGGCTCACAGCAACGTATCAACTGACCGTACAAAAATTTGGCCACCGGTAACTTTCCCCTAAAACGCACGGCGGTGTCTGACGCCAGGGTGAGCGAGATGGTGTTTGCCGGGTTATTTAGTGGAAGGACGGTATTTAGCGTTAGGACAGGGATGGAGACAGAGCTCTGACAAAGCCGCTGCGGTTCAGGGAGGGGTCTGGTCCTGTACGACACCTCCGTGCTTGGCGTTTGCGTGTCTCTGACTCAGGTCTTAGGTGACTTTTGGGGCGCTTGTGCTAGCTCCCACCCAGCAGCGTCCTCCCCGAGGTCTTCCTGGCTCGTGGCTCTTGGAAATGACGGAGGGGCCTTGGCTTTTCTTTCCTCTCTGGCTCCAGGTGGCACAAGCTACACTCCAAGGCTGGGAAGAAGGAGAAGGAGCGTGGTGAGATCCTGGTGAGCATCCAGTTTACGCGCAACAACCTCACGGCCAGCATGTTCGACCTATCCATGAAGGACAAGCCGCGGTCGCCCTTCGGCAAGCTGAAGGACAAGGTGAAAGGCAAGAAGAAATACGACTTGGAGTCGGCCTCTGCCATCATCCCCAGCAGCATGGGCGGCCTCGACATGGAGGATGACTACGACATTGGGGGCAAGAAGTCCAAAGTCAAGGGCTTCTTCTTGAAGAACAAGCTGCGCAAGTCGTCCCTGACGCAGTCCAACACCTCCCTGGGATCCGACAGCACCATCTCTTCTGCCAGCTTGGGCTTGGCCGCAAACGTTCCCGAGGTAACCAAATCCCCGAGCAGACACAGCAGTCTGTCCACGGAGCGCTCTGGTAAGAGGATAACCGTTTTAATCCCCCCTCCTCTTTTTTTATTGCCTTCTTTTCTTTGTAAGGGACTGTTGAGGCTTTCCTGCAAATCTGTTAACTAATTGCTTACCTAGGAAGCGGTGTCCTGCGCAAACCCTCCGAGACCACCTGCGTGTGACAGTAACATGCTTGCCAGAACAGGGGGAGACATCTAAGGTTTTGCTTTTCATCCTGAGCCTGTATATGCACAGCCTGACTTAACGCTGATGCTGCGCGTCCTCCCTGCAGCGCACCACGAGCTTGCGAGCTGTGAGGGTTCTTTAGGACCGTTTCTTCTAAAAAGAAAACCCCCAAAAAACCCTAAAAGCAGGTTGCTAATGCTGACTCGTAGCAGGAAGCCCCTGGGAGAGGGCTGGGCAAAGCAGAGCACGTTGCTGCTGCACTGCTGCCCGGCTGTCTAATGAGACGCCTCCGGCTCAGAGGCAAAGCTGAAACAGTGACCGGTTCCCGGTGATTAAAACAATCTGAGCTCTTGGCGTTCGGAGAGCGGCGATTTGCAAACAAAAAAGGCCCTTGTAGTGAATTAATTCTTGCCGTCCCTTGAAAACAAAATATATAATTAAATGGTTTAATTGGCTGGAGACAGCAAATTCCCACATTGGGTGGGAGTCCCTGGGTATGTGCTGCTTCTCACCGTGCTGGTGAAGCTGCCCGCGTGATGCCTCTCGGATTCGGCTGGGTGACGTTCCCGTGCGCGGCCGGAGAGCGAGCGGAGGCACCGGTCTGGCCTCATCATCCTCGTGTCGTGGTGAAGGAGAGAGCATCTCCGGCTAGGAGGGGAGAGTGGCTGCCTGTCATCTAAAGTCCAGGCAGCGCTTCTCACCGGGCTCTCTGCGTAACCCCAAAAATAGCAATAGCCACAGGGTCCTGCAGTGGGAGGGAGAAGCAGGCACTGGATCCTCCGGGCTTATATCGCGCAAAGCAGCAGCCTGGCCTGTCAGAGCGGAGATTGGAGGCTCGTTGACTTTTATTCAATGCAAATTCTTAAATCACACGGAAGCATAAGCCCTTTAAGTAGCTTCTCGGTAGTTTCTTGCATTTATTATCGATCTCAGATCCTCTCAGACAAGGGGTTTGTCATCTTACAGAGACTCCGCTCCAGATCCTGCAGTGGGAGGTGATGTGCTCGGGGAGAATACCGTATAGCTTGTATAGCCACATACTTGTGACCCATGCTTTGCATTTCTAGTAATTTAATTACAGTCCGGCAGAGCCTGGGAGGGACGAAGCCGGTATGATTTCACAGATCTCTTTAGTGTTTGCAATCAGAAGATAACGATGCTTGTCTTTCCTGCGCCTGTTACTCAGATGGCCTCACCTCTGTTTCGTGTTTTATTTCCCCGCAGTGAAAGACTACTTGCCATCTCCAAAGCTGACCCACAAGAGAGCATTCAGTGACGATGTCTCCCAAGTCAGCCCGGTCTTGGAGCCCAAAGCAATCCAAAGCCTGACGCCAAAGAACGATCCCGTGTCCCGGTCTTCCCTCTGCATCAACGGGAGCCACGTTTACAGCGATGAGCCTGCACCAAAGAGCCCCATGTCTGTCCCGCGGAGCTCTGCGCCGCTGTCCGTGCCCAGCATCCCCAGACGGCAGGAGGAGGGCTTCAGCTTCGCTCCCCTCCATCCCGACTCCCATGAGGTGCCTTGGGGGGTCAGCAACTTTGAGAGGACGCAGCAGAGAGACGAGCCCAGGTTCATCCCGTCTCCTCCCAGCTTAGCCTTGCAAGAAGAGCTCAAGGTCTCCACGAAAGCCGTCACTCTCAGCAACCATCTGGGCAGAGCCAAGATGGAAGAAAACAGTCGCTTAGAGAACAAGCCGACTCAAGCTGCAACACCCATGGTCTTCTCTACGGAGGCGACGAAGGACAAACAACCTGAGGAAACGAGGAAGGAAGAGAAGAAAGCAAAGGGCGGCCTCTTCCACCACGGGGGCAACAAGAGTGACGTGGGGAGCAAAGGCCAGGGGGAGAAAGTGGGACCCTCCCACGGCTCGTCCGTCCACGCGACGGCAGGGGGAGACGAGAAGAATAAAACCAGCGGCTGGTTCGGTTCAAAGGAGCCCAAAGACTCCCCTCAGAAACCCAGGTCAGTGAAACGGGTGTGTTGCCGTCTCGGCCATTAGCTAGCTGCCCCAGCCTCCCGTCTTCAACGGCTGCGCTGTTAAACGCTCTCCAGCTTCGGCGGAGGACCAGTCCCCATTGCTCAGACGAGACGATAGCGGGGGAAATGCTTCCTTGGTCTTAAATGTCTCAAAGGCAGGGTGATTTTTCCTGGATCCTCCCCTGGCTTCTGCCACAAACCAACTCCATTTGCGCTCCCGGGCCGTGTTTCCCGGTTGGGGAAGGGGGGGATCCCGTCCATGGAGAGGGAGATGTTTCCCTCTGCAGAGGTGAGGCTCAGCGTGGTCACGCCAAGTGTTTCTGTGGCCTCGGAGTAAAGGATCGTTATCCTTTAATTCACTAAAAAAGCTTCCCTGGCAGTCAGCGTAGGATGCGGGGCATAGTGACATGTAATCACATTTTTTTATCAACATCCCACCCTGTCTATGTCGCTGGTCTGGCCTGGGGGTGCGGCGCTTTGGTAACTTGAGATATTACTAATATTTCTGAAGTAACTAATCCCAGCCCTGCTCTGTCCTCTTCCCATCCCACCTTCCTCCTTTCCCAGCCTTCCCTCCTCCCGATTATGAATCTCTAATTGATCTCGCTTCGTGTGGTGATTCATCCCTCCAAATCCTCAGCGCTGTATTTGTGGCACAGAAAAACGCGGCGTTCGGGCTGTTTCTGTGCGGGCTTTATCACGACAGCGCGTCACCCACGTCCATCCCCGTAGCCCCCGGCAGCTGAGCTGGGGGTCCAGAGGTCGGCCGAGAGCCCGGTGCGGTGTTATCGTTGTTCAGCGAGAGGGAGAAAACGGGGTTAAAAGCAGCCAGAGAACATAACTAGCGGTCGAGAGCTGGTTGAATCTAGAGGGTTGATTTATTATAGGGGTTTTCTAATCTGGGATGATTTTAACCTAATTTATTAAGCAGAAGGATTTTAATTCAGCCGAAGCCTCCTTTAATGAGGAGGGCACTCATGGTTTATTCAACCTAACCAGATTCCCACACGGGTTAAACTGCTTTTCAGGGGCTGCTCAGACATAAGCAAGGGGGTGAGCGTATCGCTCAGCGCGGCTTCTCAACAGGGGCAGCCCCAAAAGTCCTCCTCACCCCACGAGAAGATGTTGTGCTCGTAGCGGTCTTTAAGGCCAACGGGAGGCAAGAAACGTGCTGCCAGCCCGCTTCCCAAGGACCGAAGGCCACGTGTCCTTGTCCTGCGTGCCACACACAGTCGGTCCCTCGAGAGGAGCGTGTGCTGCCGGCGCGAGGATGGGAGAGGAGCCGCGGGTCCTGCCCGCTGCCAGTGCTGCACGGGCAGAGCTGGGGACACCGAGGCAGGCGGGGAGCTGCTCCCCTGCCTCACGAACGCCCCGTCTCGCAGGCTCCGGAGCTCTTTGCCCCAGGGCCTTTCATTGGGGAGCGAAGCCCGGCTCACATGGGGGAGGCGATGGGGAAGGGAAGGACCAGGGAGAACGCGGGCTCTCCGTCTTCGAGCTGCTCCGGCAGCAGGAGAGGTGAACGTGAGGTGCTGGGGCTGTGTTCCTACGTACGGGCCTTTCATTTCCAGGAGACTTGAAACCCCGGTAGTTATTTGGTGTCACATCCCAGTGGAAGGTTTGTTTCTGGATGAGACTATAGGACTCTGGGCTCTGAATGCTGTGGTTGAGGAAGGACAGAATATTACCACTCAAGATTGTTCTTTTAATTTTTTTTCATTTTGCTATAATAAAGCTGCTGTTTAAGTCCTAGAATAGAAAAGATACCGTATGAAAAATAAACCTATAAAAAAATCCTACCGTATTCAGGCAGTGACTCCACAAGCTGCCTGAGCCAGCCTATGATGTACGCGTGTGATGGGATGGGAGATGCCCTCTGCATCTCCCTCTGGAGCCTTTTCCTCGATAAACGGGTGAGAAACCTGCGGGTTTCCTCCCGCTTTGCAGTTCTAGGAAGGAGGCGGATGCGGGCCGTGCGTTACAGCCTGCCGTGGGAGCCGTGCCTGCCCCGCTCCTCCGATGCACGCTGCTGTCTTCAAGGCAAGGGTGTCCGATCCGGCTGTAAATCGGCTCCCGAACGCCTGTAGCATCCAACCCGGCGGATAATCGCAGTGAGTGCAGAGGTGCCCTTAAACACTGCTGGTTTCTAAAAATCCTCTGCCTTTTTTTTTAAATGACAGCTGCTGGACCCATTCCCAGCATTAGTCCTCTCCCAGAGGGTTTTCACTCTGTGGGGTTTTTTTTTCCAGTCTACTTCAGCGCTCACAGTTTAATTTCCAGCTAAGCTGAAGCTCAGCTTTGCTTAGAGTCGGTTTGCCGTGGCGTGCCGAGGACCCCGTCCGCAGACGGCCGTCTGGTAAGGAGAAACCTGGATGAGCCATGCGACAGCAGCTCCTCCAGCTGGGGTTTTCTCTCCCCAAAATAGGAATTGCTTTGAAGCAGCGGGGGCTGGAGGGAACAAATTCACAGGGGCCCCTTTCGGGGTGTTCATAAGCATCTGAACGGGCTTTAATTGCAGTTTGCAATTTCAAAATGGGAAGTAATGAGCTTAAACTGTAGCAAGGGAGATTTAAGGTAGTCATTAGGAGAAGTCTCCAATGGAGGATGGTGCAGTGCTAGAGCTGCCTGGCTGGGAGGGAGGAAAGCCCAGCATCTGGGGCCTTGGGGCCCGGGGTAGGCGAGCACCTTGGGGGAACGTTACAAGAAGCGTTTGTCCTAGCGTACGGCCCAGGCTGGGCGGTGGGAGATGGTGACTGAGGCTCATTTGATGCAAAACCAGCCTTTCCATCATCGCAAGGGAGATGGACTGTCCCTAGTCCGGCTTTCCTGGTTCTTCATTTTTTCTGACCATTAATTATAATGTCATTACTTCTTCTAATTATACGAAACTCTTTAACTTCTCTGATTTTATTCTCCTTCCTTATGCTGAACGACCTTGCGGACCATGCCACTGATTCAAGTCAAAGCTGTTGAAGAGCTTATTAGGTCTTGATGGTGTCAGGTTGAACGTACGGTCTGGTGCCATCAGTATCGCGATAATCAAACGCGTATGGTCTCTCAAGCACGCGACTGAAAGTTAGCAGTGCTTATCTGTGGGTGTTCTTTGGATGTCCATCTGCATCTGGAGGAGCAATTCAGTTACTGGTGTAACTTCTAGAGCTGAAGACGGATTAACCTTTGCTTTGTAGAAGGAACCAGCCTCTGAATCAACCGGTTTTAAGCCTTTGACTTATCTGCAGAAAGGATTTTTTTCTGCTCCTGCTCTCCTGATTCTGGAAACTTCAGCTTTGCAGCTCCTATCACCTGAGCAAGCAGAATCTTCTCACCTTTTTGCCCACCCTGGATAGGCCAAGTTTCACCCGGAGCTGAACGTGGGGAGAGAGCGTCAAAAGCAGTCACCTTTGCGAGACCAAAAAACTCAACCTGTAATTAGTTAAAGGGTCTGTAATTAGAAAGATGCTTTACAATTAAGGTTTAAATTAGCCTGCAGCTAAGCCAGGTTTGGCACAGCTTGTCTTCAACCACTCGCTCTTGCAAAACCACACCCTTTCTAAAATAAGGAAGCCGCTGACTTTCGGCTGGTTTTAACTTCAGCTTTATAAAAAGGTTTTCTGTTACGGGCAATTTTTGCTGAGCCATCAGCGAGCCCACACTCATGCTGCCCTGCGAGCTGCAAACCTGCTCGCTCTCTTACCCAGGGAGAGGGTTGGATATTCCTGCCTCCGGCCCTTATTTACACATTTGTTCTCTGGCTCTTGACGGGGAAGCAGGTCCCAAAGGCTGTGCCTTTCTGCCCCGGCTTTGCTAATCCCTGGCAGCTACTGGGCTTTGATACTGGCTTGAATGGAAGCAGTAGGAGGATAGTGTTTGCTCTTTGGAGACATGAATAAAAGGCTGTGTGGGGTTTGTTGTTTTTAAGGTTGTGTGGTCAAGGGTTGTATGTAAGGAAGAAGCTCAGCAGGTTTATTTGAGGCAAGGCCTGGGGCTAAAACAATTGGTTTAACTATTTTCAGGGTTTCCTACAATGTTATCAGAGCTCCACAGGTCCTGCTTCCTGCAGCGTGAATCGGGATGATAAAATGAGGCTGCATCTCATGCTTAGCGATAGGAAAAAAAGAGAAATTGCGCTTTCTCCTGTAAAAATAATTGTATTAGTGCCATTTGCAGGTTAAAGCCCCTTCCCTCTGTTGCTGCTTTCATGGGGGGAAAATGTAAAATCACTCCCCACCTTGGTTGTCACTCCTCTTTCCATAGTCCATACCCTTATACCCAGCAGTGAGGCCAAATAGTGACTCCAGTTCCTCACTATTCATCATGCACTCCTAAAAAGTACATTTCCTAAATACTGGAAATAGGAAGAAGGTTTTGAACGATTGAAGCATGGTCCTTGGACAGGGAGCGGCGCAGGGGGACCGGGTGAGCTTGTCGGTGGGATTGAACATTCACGCGTGTGACAGCCCCCGCCAAAGCGCCGTTAACGGGGACTTTCAGAGCAGAACCTGGGAGGCTGCAGAGTTTGATGAAGAGGAGCACTGTGTTGGGGAACCAGGGCGTCACGGATAACGGCGATGCTGCGGATGAGTCCCATCGCGGGAGCTGTCGGGGCCGCATCTCTGGCACAGGTCTTGTCTCCGCGCGAGCTGCAAAACTGCATGCCTCCATTGGATCGGTCACGGGGTAAAAATGATCAGGGATGGAGCCGGACATCGTCCCTCTGGCACGAGGGGTGCGGGGAGCCTGCAAGGGTGAAAAATGGCTCTTTAAAATGCCTCTGCCTTCCTTTTGCCTCCTGAGCCCACATTTCCCAGGGACGGACGTGAAGCAGGGTGGTGAATCGGATCCTAAGCTGGCACCAGCTCAGCCCTGGTGAGACAAATCTGCTTTGTAGCTGCCCAGGTAGAGCACAGCCCTGCTCCCACCCCCGAAAGTGGGTGCTGGGGGTAGCACTTTGCACCTACTTGGGCTCCTACTGCCCAGATCCTCTCTCT